CTTCCTCTACTGACCGTTCATGACATGACAGCTTGGCTCTGGGACCCTTGCACTCAGAACACCGCTCAGCTCTTCTATTGGTTTCAACTTTCTCCTCCTGACAACTAATTTTCCTCAATTTACTGGCAAACTCCTTCACAACCACATTTTTTACAGTTGGAAGTTTAACTCTGTTTTCACCCTCTGCTTCCATGTGTGTGTGAGTGCTGCTCTGTCTATATGCAGTGGGGATGGTGCTCTCTCCATGCTGTAGAGGTAAGGCTGGAAACAGAGGTGGTGCAAGTGGCCCTTCAGTTGAAGTTGGTGGGTCTTTCTCTTCCTGCTCGTCCTCAGCACCCTTCAGATGAACAATAACACGTCATGAGCCACCAAGCTATGTAATGACTGATAGGCAGTAATGTGTGTGAAGGCATGTTTAACCTTTGCCTGTTTCTCCTCTAGCTGGTTAATCCTTCTGAGAAACTCCTGTGCTGCGCTCCTGAAGCTGTCCATGTTTGCAAGCGACTCCACGTTTTTGTCCTCCCCATATCCTGCCGTCAGACCAGGCACCAAGGAAACAGCTTCACAGGCAGACAAACATGCTATTTTGAGAGCCAACTATTCTATACTCAATCCACAAACTATTCAGTCATATATTTGTTTCTATTTCTTTAATTTGAGGTTTAAATTCAGTGAATGTTAACACTTCTTTAACATAAATATTCCACAAAGAATATTCCCTTGTGTCACCCTAACTACGGAGTTTACATTTAATTTCTCTTTGATAAACAATACTAAAGAAACCCATTTATATGATTTGTTGTTTTCAAATATTAAAAGACTACTGCTGAGAATACTTGTAAAAGAATTATATGAATGACAATGCAGCTTTAAAGTTAGCTAATGTACCAATTGCATCTCTGTTTCAAGTGTCCCATCTTAATGTGCTGCAGGTAACCAGGCTATCCTCTTTTAAGTGCATGGCTATGGTAAATTAAAAGGTCTACATTCTTTAATTTAGAGTCCTGTCTTGAATGACGAAGCTACAAGGATTGTGAAGTACTTGAATAATTAGATGAACTTACTGGCCGGTTTGCAGGTCTGCAATATGAACGTAGCAGCCTTCCTGACCTCCTCACATGTGTCCTCTGTGAGTAAAGTTATAATAAGGGGCAGGCCTCCACACTGCACCAACTGTGACTGGTGGTCCTCTGCAGACAGGAAGAATCACAGTTGTGAAAAAGTATTTGGACAGCATAAAGAATCACGATGAAAGTTTTTTTGGTGGTTTAAAATATGAATCTAACACATACAGCACTAGCAGAAAATATTAGACATAAAAAATACATTCTCACCAGAAGCCTCGGTGCAGTGACCCAGAGTTAGTAAAACTGAAAGCCTGTCCTGGAAGTCCAGATTTGGGCTTGCCAGCAAAGAGAGGAGATGGGACACTATGCCATACTGAGCCAGACCTGAAGCCAGAGCAGCTGAAGAGAGCGTAGATTGTCAATGGAAAAAGAAACAATTGTGGTTGTGTTATTTGAAATGTAACTTTGTGAGGGAACAATACACACAGTTATCAGTAACACAAGCTGACAGGGTCTTGGAAATAATGACTGAAAGTTGGCACGACAACGAGCTTGTATCTGCCACAGAGGCTAGACGAAGGAGTGAACGAGTGAGAGTTTCCAAACCCCCCGAGGCAGAAAAACTCTCCTGAACATAGCCTGCAGAAAAAAACAAAGATTTGTTTTAAGTCTTTTCATTGTTTGGACATCGTTTTCAGTTTACAAGCTTGGCCAAAACTTTTACTTACAGTTGCTGGCAACTGTCATCGCTATGAAGGAACAAATTGATTGAACAATCTCTGTGCGTGCCAGAGCAATCTGCTGAAGCCAGACATTTATTATAGGAAAGGCTGCAACACAAATACGCTGACCCTCCTCTGGAAGACAAAAATCATCAATTGATTTAAAACTGTTTTTCTGTTCTTACTCTAGATACTATGAAATTAACTATCCTATGGTTTGAGTCCAAGATGAAATGGGCAAATATGTTATACATATTAACTCCTCTGTTAAAGGCAAAAATACAAAGACGATATTACCATTCTGAGGATTGTAGACACATCCACAGAGAGCACTAGACACAGATGCCCAGAGTTGGTAAGTGTGAGGAGCATTAGCAATAACTGCAGTGGCCTCTTTGGAAAGGGGAAAAGTAGTCCTGCAAAAACATATACACTGAAATGAATTAAATTAAATATTGCATGTATAACCTGGCAGGTTAGGATTTTTTTAATGTGTTACTGAACCCTGCATATATTTTAAATTCCTTTTATATTAATGAAAAACTTCAATTTACACAAATCAATTTTGTGAAACCACTTGACATTATGAACTTAAGTAAATTAAACATTCAGTATGCTATCAAAGCTGTATGTATGGGCTAATATGAGTGGATTTTGCATACCTGTGTGAACTTGGTGAGACTGATAATACTGTAGCTACATCACTGATAAGTACCTGAACAGGTCCAGTAGAATATCCAGGCAGCCAGTAGTTAGGGCTAAAGACTGTCCTAATTCTGCAAGAGCACCGACACACAAACAGGTTACAAGGGTCTACATTAAAAAGTGTGATCATCATCACACTCTCTGAAATGAAATGTACAATATTTCAGCAATACATTTTGTTGTATATTTATGAAATTTCTCTCATATCTGATCCTGTAGCTTTATTCACTGAGTTAGCTGAGGGCATCTTTATCTTACTGTTGTTGGCGACCAACACAGACAGCAAATAGACAGAAACTCTCTTCTGTGTCAGGGGGACATCATTCATCAACCAATCAGCAAGGTCTGCAAATGTCTCCTTTCTGCACAGAGAATTCTTGGAAAACACTACCAGAAGAAACAATATAAATCAGTATCAACCATATGTTGAACCTTTATTCATTTGAAAATACTACGTCTCATCAATTTAGTTCAGAAAGAACACGATACGTGCTTGGGTACACTTTCAAAATAAAATACACAAATCATCTTACATTAATCTCATAAGCAGCCTCTGATACCTGCATTTCAAATTAGAATTTTCTATAGCAGTGACAAAGCTATCCTGTGTGTGTCCTTTGCAGCTCTTAGTATCCTATAATCTACAGAAAAGAAAACAATAGAAGAGTTTGCAAGTAGCCTATGAATTATTTCAGTGTCCTAGCGATCTACCAAAGATTTTTGGAGGCAATTTCCTGCCTGTTGTCCAGTAAATCTTCAACTGTACAAATGAACAAACACCACATAAATGTATCTTTCCCATCTCTTTGACGCTGGACAATATGTACATTCATCTGAGGCTTCGAGGGCTGCAATGCAATTTCTTGGACTGCATCATTCATAGGGGCATCCCTGAAGTGGGCTTCTGAAATATCACTCTCACACCTACCATTGGCCTCTGCGAGAGTGCCCAGCGTAAAAAGTGCAGTCTCCTTCACATCTGAGTGAACAATAGTGGATTTGGAGAGGTTATACACAAATGCCACACCTCCCATTTCTCTCAGCAGGTCCACATTGTCATCTGAAATAATGAAAAGTAAACAGTTTTGTATATGTGAATGAAAATCAATTCCTTCAACGACTGCTCTCCAAATAAAAAACCCGACTGACTGATGGTGCTGTAGGAGAGATAGTGAGTGTATGAAACGGTTTGGGTTAATATTTCTGTCATTAATGGAGCAGTTACCTCTGTTTTCACAGATGGAGTGAATGGTGAGAAGAGCTTGTTTCTGTAGCTCAGGAGATTTCATCTGAAACTTCAGACACTCAATGAGCAGGCTGAGGTCTGTTCTTATGGCTGAAAGCAGAGGGATGGAATCAGCAAAGTCACGTTGAACTGAACAGAAATGTTTAGTTACACTAGCTCCGTCCATGTTCCAATACTAACTAAATGTGCACAGCTAGTTTCCAACAATGTCACTCACCAGTGCGGCTGTTGCTGTAAGCCCCAGTTTTCTCCATCACACTCTTTGAATGACTCTTAGGTTACTTAGAAATGTTATCGAACTGACAATATGGCTGATTTATCAATCCAATAATATCATCTCTACATCCTCACCTTTGGTAGAGCTAGCATTATTTTGTGCTAACGAATTAGCTACCTAGCTAAATACCCTAATATAAATCTTTATTTGTTGTGTTTGCTCCGGTTAAAACTGCAGCTCGTTTAAAGTAAAATATTTCTACAAGGTAAATTCAAAGTTTTCTTCAGGAGTAGAAACCTCAGTGATTTAAAGTTAGTCACAGAGATGTTAGCTTTAGCCAAAGTTAGCTGTCGCGTTTGTCTCCCATGAATCACCGGTGATGGAACGTCAGCACTTTGCGTTACCATGGCAACAAGAGACAGGGTGTGGCCCACCACTCCGAATATTAGCGCGTGAAGTTGAATTCATTCATGAGACGAGACACGTGTTGATTTATGAATGAATTAAACAAAGCTGAAGAGATAAATTCAGATTCTTCATTTTTTCCTGTGAGCCATTTATATGAAGATTCAATGAGGATATTAATTTTGATCACACTCAATGTCTGTGGTGATGCATCTGCCCTTTAGCTTTGGATTATATCTGTGATGCTTTTATTATTTGCTTTAAGGCTGTTTTACTTTGTTTTCATAAATTAGTACAGAATTAGAAAACGTTTTTTCTTCTTAGAAACATATGAATATTACAAGTTCCACATCCATAAATGTAAAGTGCTAAAAAGCTTCTTTTGGTGTTTTTAAAAGTGAAGCAGAGCCTCTATATCAGTTCATTGTCTACTTCCTTTAATTGAAAAGCTGATAAAACATTCAGATTTTAATATATTATTCTGTTTATTGCAAGAGTGCATGGCTTAATATATTTTATTAAAGTGTATAATGTACAATCAATATGAAATTGTGAAATAATTTGTTTATTTCTATTTGTCTGATAGTTTACACGTCACGTTGTTTACATTGCGTCACCGTGGAAACCGTTACGTAGCTGAAGCTGAACACAGGAAAGAGTAATGCGCTGAGCAGAAACCGGAAGTAAGCGATAGAAAGGCAACAAGTACTAGTTTTTTTTTTTAAGAAAGTACACATCAAGTCGAAAAAGTCACCATGGGAACTACGGCAAGTAACCTTGGGAAGGATTTGCTCTCGGAATATCAAGTAAGTCCCCCAAGACACGTCATTAAAACTGATGTTATATCGTTACGGAAGTAAACCGAGTGGTAAAGCTGCGAGCTGCTTCTTCCACGCATCGTTAGAACTATCTCAGCTAAATGCTACGAAGCTAAAGAATAGCTTTGTCACCAGGGGGGCAGGGTGATTTATTTGTCGTCTGTAGTTGTTGTATTTCCTATAAAGTAAAAAGAAAACTCTGATGGCACTTGTCATCACGCTGGTTAAGTGGAAGCTAATGTTGCTAATATCATGGATTGACAGGCAATAGAAGATGAAGGAAATATATATGAACAGGATATAGGAGTCAAAACATGTTAAGGTTTTAAAGTGTAAGTGACAACAGTGTTTAAGGTTCATCCGTGACTGCTTTCATTCTGATGACAATTCCTTTTCCTCACAGGAGCTGACATTCCTGACAAAACAAGAAATCCTCCTGTAAGCAATCAGCTGCATGCAACATGTTACCAATTATAAAAAATCATTTCCAGTAATCTATCACTGCGTGTTGCAATACATAATCAAATATTGCCTTTCTTCTCATAATCAGAGCTCACAAGAGATTCACTGAACTGCTCCCGAAAGAGGAGAAAGATCTTCTTAACACCAGGGTACCAATGGAGAAGATTCTTACTTTGCCAGAACTCAAGGTAAAAATACATTTAAGGGTTTAAAAAGAGGATCTATGGATATTATGTGGACGTCTGCGTGGTTTATTTTCACAGTTTAACCAGGACTGTCGTGTGCTTTTGTGTGTTCTGGAAGAAGACTTCAAGTGCTGATAAACTACACTGACCCTTGTACTTATTCCTGTTTCAGTCCAACCCTTTCAGGAACAGAATCTGCCATGTGTTCTCAACGTCTGATATCAAAGATGGAAGCCTCACCTTTGAGGATTTTCTGGATCTATTGAGTGCCTTCAGTGACTCTGCTACACTGGAAATCAAATCCCACTATGCCTTCCGTATATTTGGTAAGTCACTTGATTAAAACACGTTGCTGGTTACAAATAATATATGTAAGGAAATGAATCTGCATAATAAGTATATTCATGTATTGTTTTAGACTTTGACGATGATGGAACCCTTGACAGTGGCGATCTGGAGAAGCTGGTGAACTGTCTGACCGGGGAGACTGATGACACAAGACTGACCACAGAGGAAATGCGACAGCTCATCAGCAATGTGAGTTCAATGAGGCATTGCCTTCTTTGTAGCTGATCATTTGAATCCACTTTTTAACTTTTTGTACTGTCATTAACTTTTTTTTTAAATGTATTTGTTCCTCTCAGTGTATGTTTGTGTTCAACTTGCTGTTCCAAATGAATTACCTGAAGTTGTTTGAATTGAAATTTGTAAAAGCATTTCAGATGGTGAAGACAGTGGATATAGTTTCTTCTTCCTCTTTTTAGATTCTTGAAGAGTCGGACATTGACAAGGATGGAACAGTGAACCTCTCAGAGTTTCAGCATGTGATTTCAAGATCACCAGATTTTGTCAGGTAAGAAAACAAATCAAATTATTATTGTTATTTTACCCAATTTTCTCCTCTTCAACTGCAACCTAACAATTTGATTTCTCCACAGTTCTTTCAAGATTGTGCTGTGAAGACCTCTAGAGGGCCGTGGAAATGCATCACCCTTTCCCTCTGATATCACAGTGTTTAATTATTTCAATTAGAACAATTTAATATTTGCCTTAAATTATATTCACCCGTGGATTTTATTGCCTTAACTGTTTTTATGTATTGTTTTTGATTTTTCTAAAATATCTGTAAATAAACTAAAAACATTTACCAAAAGTACAGAATAACTCTCATTCAGATAAAAAAACAAACAAACAAACAAACACACGTTTGTATTACAAAATATATTTAATCTTAAGTATTAATGTTTGTGTTGTGAGAGCTTACACTTCCTGATATGTTGTCCAAAGTCCACTGTTCTCCAATGAGGGAGATTCCTTTGTATTTTTAAGAGCTTGGTACTTCCTCCTTGACAACAGCAGCAAAAGTGTTCCACGTCCCGCACACCACATCAACCACACGCATCTGCTGCTCCCTGAAGAACTCCACACACTGGGGCTCATCTGAACTGATTAATGTCTGATGTCCAAGTTGACCGTATTCACCTGAAATAGTAAAAGAAGAAGAGATGGTCAGGGGGATGTTAACACTGCAGCAGCAACACCAGCACCAAACATTTCACAGACAATACAATGTATTTATCTCAGATTCAGAATTCAAACCTACCCCAGCCCCAAGTATAGAGGTCACCTGTGGCTGAAATTAGATAAATATGACAATGACTTATCAAGAAATGTAAATCAATATTATCCATCAACTGTCACAACAAGAGTCCTTACTTGTCACAGCAGCTGTGTGACGGGAGCCGCAGCTGACTGTCCTGATTTCACAGGACGGAGTGACATCCAGCAGAGCCGGGAAAGCCTGGATGGATATGAATACCTCCTCGTGTTTCTCCCCCTCCTGTGGCTCTTCATCACTCTTCACATCAGCGTCTTGGCACAGAGCTCCTGTTCAATGCAGTCAATGAAACTGGGCTATTACCGTGACAATATTACGCTTAAGTGGCAACAACAGGCAAAATACTGAACATGACGTTATATTAGAGTCATAGCGGTGGTTCATCCATGAATGCTAAAGCCTTTCCCATACCTATACCTGACATGCTATTCATTTAAACAGACTGTTAGGGAGTGAGATGTTTGATGTCATTGAGTTTATTATGCTAAACCTGCAGAAAACATTTGAACAAATTACAATTTTGTCTCTTTCACATATAATATATCCACCAGGTCCAACACTTTTTGTCCTATTGTTCAGAGATTCAAAGTGAACCTCAGCAGATAGGACGGAAATCTTTGGATTGAAAGACGTCACTTCAGGCAAGAAGAAATATAAGACGACTGTGTTTAGGAGTGTGAAACTGTATTTCACATTCCTGAAGGAGACAGACAAACCTGCTTGTTGGCTACTACGCTGCTGCATTGTTTTCCTCAGACCTCGTGATGGGAGTCCAATCTGACCGCTCTCGTTCCAGCCCCACAAATAAAGGTCACCGCCATCTGTGAAGAAAAGGTCATCTGAGGTTTTTCTTTTTTCTAAGTTGAAGGATCATAACCCTTTTCACTGGCAACACTTTTTTTAATAACATTTACCACCAATGCAGACAGAGTGCCAGCCTCCTGCAGCAACACCGCTCATGGTCATCCCCCAGAGGGCCTCCACCGCCCTGGGCTCCTCCTCAGAGGTGAGGTCGCCGTGTCCCAGCTGACCGTGACTTTTAAATAAAACACACACATGCAAAAACATCAAGATACTCAGAAGGGTGCAGTTGCAGTGGTCAATAAAGACGTGTATGTGAGTGTTAGCTGTACCTGCCCAGTCCCCATGTGTACACGGCTCCTGTGGCACAGAGAAGGATGGCATGCTCTCCTCCCAGAGCAAGACTCTTGGCTTTCAGGTGAGGAGACAGTGAGCGGAAGAGGGGAGGTTTGGTTGCTATGTAACCACCAGGGACCAGTGGGAGATTCAGGAGGGGACCTGGAGTAAGAAAGCAGCCAGATGTTTACAGTAGAGCCTCTGACAGATCATGTGATAAACCTTTTCATGTCTGTCAGCTGTATGATATATTAAAATACGCACCACCAGATTGCGTGTTTATTTCCCTGCTCCATGATGGAGTCTTGTCTTTCCTCTGCAGGTCCCAGGTTTCGATCCTGCCTGGGAAAGCAAGGGTGAGGTGCTGTTCACTGATGAAAGCGTCTTTACAGCCGAGGCTCACTGAAACACCACAGGAGGAGGCTGCAGCGAAACCTGCCACACACACACAGCTGTCACCTAACACACACACACACACACACAAAGAGCAAACTTGAGTTAACACCTTTATATACAGTCTATGGTTAACACCCATACTAAGAGTGTGGTTACAGAAGCTTGCTGTGTCAGTATCTCTGTGTTTCTGACTCACCATCCTCGTGCACAGTCACTCTTCGACTCCAGCTCGCTCTCACTCCTCTGATCTTGGAGCAGCAGCAGGACTCGAGCTCAGTTGGAAGGGTCAGTTTGATTTCCTCAGTGACGTCACATCCAGCCGCTTTGTTTAATCGGTCACATATTTGTCCGAATGCGTTAAAGCCGAATCCAAACCACCGCATCGAAAAACGCGTCACCTCCGTTTGTTTCTCACGGAAGCTGCCGCACCGGATCCGTTGCAGCGCAGTTACCCGCAAAGTTTGAACAACGTGGAAGGTGGCGCGGGGACGCACCGCGCATGCGCACTGATGTGAGCCGCTTCATGGATCTAAATTAGACTCTACTTACTAATAATAACAATAATAAAATAAATAATTGTTACTATTACTACTTCTCAAATGATCTGGTGCTGCAGTCATTAATAACATCATTATATTTAGTAATCACTATTTGTCTCATAGGATTTAACAAGGTGTGACATCCTCTGTTCTTAACAGAGACAGATTAAGACAGATTCTACATTCAGGTGCCTACAAAGAGAAGAGATGACAGTAAGGTTCATGTAGAGATATTTATTTATCAAACACAGTCAAAGTAGTGGGAACGTAGTGAATTTAAAATGAAAACACTGCACACGATTTGGTGAATTATACAAATGAAATGTTTTGGTCTTTGTATGTCAAACATAATTACACAAATAATAATAATAATGATGTGAAATTAAGACAAAGTATATTTGTGGAATAACAATTACACAAGTAAAAATTACAATCTTAAGTAAAGAATGTATAAAATAGTTTTTTATCCAAGACATTTTTGTCAAATAAATTCATTACTGCTTTTTGACAATCAGTGTATATCCATTCAGACCAAACAACTGGACCCACATAACTCTCGAGGCACATCCACACACAGCAGCAGTGTTTTTAGGGTTCAGTTGTCCTTATCCCGCCCTTCTCTGCTTCTGATGATGCCATACTCCACAGCTTTGTCCAGACAGTTCTGAGCGACCTTTATAATGGGCTGCGGCATGTCTTCTCCTCCCTTTGCCAGGACAGTCAGGATCTCTAGAGCCTCACTCTCCATGAGTGTCTCAGCCAGGCTTTTCTCCGCCTGCATCATGTTCTGAACGATGACCGCTCCACGATGACGGAGGTCAGATATTTCACTGAGCAGCAGCGCCTGTATGATCTCAAGCCAGTGGGTTGTCTGTGAAGAGAGGACAACAGGAAGTCATGAGAAACAAAATATAAAAATTTGTCTTTGTAGTATGTGAAGGTTTTGACAGAGAGCAGCTGCAGTGGTGTACTTACTGTTCCAGGGATGCGGGCACAGAGCTCAGGCTGCTCAGCGGTCAGCATGGCCAGAGTTCCTGCAGCAGCTTTCCGCAGCCTCTCGTCCTCCTCGCCGCAGTAAAGCACAAGCAGCTTTAGGCGATCGTTCCCTGTTGCCAGGTACATCTTCTGCACCTGAGGACACACCGAATACCCATAGCTGTTAACTTAACATTTTTATAAATTCGTGCCAATAATGTATTCTCAATATAATACGTCTTACCTCTGTACTTAAAACCAAATTACACATGCACTCTGTGGCAGAGGCTCGGACCAGTTCGTGCTCTTCAAACATATAGCCTTCAACTTTTTGCACAGCCTTCTCTTTTATGATTTTTTGTCTGTGAAACAATATACATTATCAATACAGGGAGAGAATATGATTAATATTTTTAGATTTTCAGCATTTTAACTGAAAACTAGGTCTGTTTAAAAGTCTAAATAGCATAAATATGTGCCTGGTTTCATACATTGTAGAAAAACAATTCAAATGAGGTTTGTACATGTATTCTTGGGAGAGACTTCCCCCTAGTGACCAACCTGAGTCTATCGCTGATGCCAGCCAGGTTGGTGAGAGCCATGAGTGCCTCGAAGTTCTGCAGCAGGGAGCATTCAAGGCTTAGGAGACTGGCAAGTGGCCGAACCACCTCATAGATCTACAATCATAAAGAACAAAGGTTAAACAATGTCAAGGACATTTTACATTTCTCACTGAAGACACCAATTACAATTTATCTTTACCCTTTCTCCTGGAAAGGCAATTTCTGGATTAGATGTGATGGTTATTTTTGCCAGGGCTTGTGCTGCTTTGATTTTCCCTAAACCTGTGTTGTCAGTTGCCAGTGGGATCAGAGCCTGGGTGAGAAAACAGTAAAAGTACATCAATTAAAACTCCAATAGCAAAGAATTCAGGTCAGGTATTCAAGTGCACAGGCTCAACTAGTAAATCTATCATAGTGCCTCTACCTTTCCTCCACCCTGTGCCACCACTGTGCCTCTGTCTTCCTGTCGTTCCACCAAAGCCAAGAACACCCTGCCGTGAAAAATGGCATTAAGAGCAAATCTGCAGAGAGAACAGTGAGTAAGGACTAAAAACTGCCATTTTCCTACCTGGCGATACACTCTCTACAAGCCTCAGTAAGAGCTGGACTCTCCTGTTTGACCATACACACCAACGCAGATACTACGCCAGACTCCAAGAGCTTCCCCAGCCTTTTCTCAACATAGGAAGGTGCATCCTGACACATGAACAGACAAAAAGGTTCAGGAAAAACACACCAACGTTAAAAAATATGCATGTTACATACATTTTAAGAACAGCTAAAGAAAAGGGTTGAAATTGGAGAAGTAGAGCAACTGTGCAGCACTGAAGGAACACTGTGTGATGTTAAATCTACATATACAAAAAGTGAGTATGTCAGCAGCACCTTGGGGTGCTCCTCAGGCACATGCTGCTTGGCATACTTGGCCAGCTCCACCATCTGAGGATCCGGCTTCTCAACTTCATAGCTGTTGGTACAATTCACTAATGTGGAGCCCACAGCAAATAGCACTGTTTTATCCTCTGACTGTAGAACACACAGAAAAACAACATTGTGACAAATATCACAAAAATACCCCTTTTCAAGAGGAATCAGTCTTTATGAATGCATTTTACAGTTCATGTATCACAATTAGCCAACCTTTGCCAGTTCAAACATGGCCAGCAAAGCGCTCTTGTCTTCCACAAAGTCTTCCTTCACATCAGCATCAAAGGTGAGGTAGGCGAGACCTTCTACAGACCACCGGCGGGAGGTTGGGGGCAGAGACTCATTACACAACCACCTAACAGAGAGAGATGCAGCTTGTTTCTTATTCCAGATCAAAGAGTTCATTCCTTATCGGTTGTTTTTTTGTTTTGTAATGCAACAATGCAAACAATGCATGACACTCTTCTCTTAATCTTAACCCAGGTTCATTATTCAACGTAAACATTCAGTACATACTTCCTGCACTGCTTAGCAAGTTTCAGTGTGGATCCCTCTGCAAACTGCTTCATACTGAAATCAGTCCCTCCTGCTGATCCAAGTTTGCACAAACCCTGCATAATAAGCCACATGAAAGCATTAACTTTTATATTTTATAAATGACGATCTTAAATCCAGCTGCCTGCAGGACTTACCACAAGGGCTCTCACACGTATCCTGTCATTCTCACTCTTCTTGTAGAGGTCCTTCAGAAGTGCCACTCCGTTGGTTGTGATGAAGGAGGCTCTCTTGGCCTTCCCTGCAGCATGTATAACAGCCTCCACTGCTACTTGCTGGTGTATTACATCTTCGGAGGCACACAGAGAAATCACTGCGTCCATCAATCCTGACATCTCCAGAGTTCTGTTACCCACGTCGCTCGGTCCTTGGAGAAGCACCGACACTGTCTGGATGGCTCGCAACTTGCCTTCCAGGCCGGGTCGGCTGAAGTACTGCCTGCCCAGAAAAATAATCAGAGGAATAAAATCATTAATAGGATGCAATTTTTTGGCCAATGAGATACAATAATGTATTTTTGTGTGTTCATATTATTTTTCGAATAACAGGCTTCAGGTTAACTCACTGAACATATTCTTCACATAGTTTGTTGAAGTTCTCCCTCTCCTTGTCACTCTTTAGGTCATCGTAGAGTTTGCTGAGCAAGACAGAGCAGCACATGTGGGAGTTGTCTGTAAGAGGTGGTCCTTGTGAGAGCTCAGCGACTGTCCCAGCCACCTCCAGGATCTTCTTAAGTCCTGTAGGAGGACAAGGACATCATCAATCTGGTGACCAAATGTCAAGGGCTTGGAATAGCTAAGCCAAAGAAATTGAAATCTATAATAGTCTATGGCTATTTATTTCCATCAAAGCACAAGGGTGAATAGATTATTTTATTTAATGCGTGTGCGTTTCATACCCTGGTCTATCACCCATAGTGTGAGGGAGTTGTCAGGGTTTTTCAAAGACTTGCGGGGTACTTGTTTGACCAGGAGGTTGATGGCGCTGTCTCTGCCTGTTCCTGACACATTAGGTTCTGGAATCATTCCCAATAGATGCCTCAACATTGAGCGTAGCTCCTTGGAGGGTTCTGTGTCAAATTCACACAATCAATTACCTTTGAAAGCACAGGATAGAAAGCTAATATACACAAAATAAACACAAATAGGAATATACACACGATTTGTATCAAAACTCACCAGGAAGTATGGCTTCATCTTTCCCCCTGATCTCTTTTTTCATACCCTCTGTTAAAGCCTCAAACATCACCTGCAGCAGGTGGCAGGCAGCCAGAGACACAGTGGAGGCCCCTGATCCCATTACTATGCACAGCTGCTCCATTCCCAGCTCATTCACAATCGCCATAGTCTGGGGATAGAACAACAGATTTCAGCACTGAAGAACAGTAAAGAGTGTGTGTTATTAGCACGGTGGATGTGATCTCCTGACAGACATGAATGTAGGATCAACATCTACTAATAAGTTGTGCCAAAGCAAATTAATCTTGAATAGAAACAATAATGTTGCAATATGTAAAGAAACAATAATACAAATAAGAAGGGCATCACTTTGAATATATCTCCTGTTCTATCTGTGTTCCAAGTAATAGAATACAGGCACACATCCCTGCTAAAAATGATGCAATAAATATCTTCCACTATGAGAAGATATAATTACACTTACTCTGGACTGATGGCCAGTGCACAAACCAACCAGAGTCCTCAGAGCTGAAAGGACCACCTCCTCCTGCTTCGACAGAAGTAGTTTCTGAATCAGCTTTACGCCGTCATTACGGAAGATCTGCTCAGCTCCAGCCTCTTCTCGAGATAACACCACCAGGTTCTGAGCAGCCTGAAATTGAAGATAAAAGAGGAAAAACCCAAACACTTTTAGAGACAAGTAGAGAAATCAATTAGGACTTTGCCTTATGAGCCATTATTACCTTCTTTCGATCTGAGTCTTTCGCAGAGGCATCTAAAAGGAGGGAGAACATCTGCTGCACTCTTGCATCTGTGGAATTTAGCTCTCTTGACTACAGGATTAAGGGAAAAGACATGAATCAGGAGCTGCTCCTCAGTGTCCAGTTTGAAATACAAGACATCCACAACCCTTTATCCACTTTATTAAAAACATCATATCACCTTCTGGTGGATTTGTGCTCCTAGCTGTCTGAGCAGATCCTGGAAGGCTTTGTTTTTGGGCTCAAGCTGAGCACACCTCTGAGCGTCCAGAAAGGCCTGGTCAAACCGACCGAGTTTCTGAAAAGCCTGAGCTCTCCGGAACCTGGCTTTCACATCACCCGGGTCACTATCGAGAGCTGAAAACAGAGGTAGACATGACATTCGATATAATTGTGTACATCCACAAACTAAGTTATGAGTGCCATAATGAAAAAGTCGCAAACTTTGCCTTTCATTTTCTCAACAATTCTACAGTGAAATCACAGACACGAAAAACTGTGAGGTGAAATACGAAATGAGAACTTGGGGATTTATGGATGCTGGCAAAAGTTAGTTGCATGCTTAACTCCACTGTCCCTTCACACAATTCTAATCCTATGACCTCCACAGTATCTCCTGCAGGTATGTGTCCCACCTTTGGATGCATCAGCCTCTGCCTTGCTGTTCTCCTCCAGTTTGAGGTAGCAGGCTGAGCGGTTGCGGTGCAGCACAGCCCTCTCTCCCGGGCTGTCACTCAGCTTCAGGGCTCTGGTGTAACAGCAGACAGCTCCCTGCATGTCTCCTGCCTTGAAGAGAGCGTTCCCCTCCTCCTTCAGGACGGCAGGCACCTGGATACAAGGGAGACACGTTAGCAACAAAGTCTCAGGATGACAGATCACATCTCCAGCATGAGGATTTGGAGGAAAAATGCTAAGCTAAAACGACAAAGCAGCTAACTCTCGCTCCCTTACCTTTTCCTTTTCGCTCACACTCATCGTGGAGGCGCCACACACAACACAGCGTCACTTAGAATGGAGAATATGCGGCTAAATATTCCTCTGATGGACACAAACACAGCAAACTTCAGCGAGACATGCTTCCGGGTGTCCGGAGCACGTTGAGGACGTAAACGTACAAACCACGCCCCCTGCCTCACGCTACGTTACCTTATAAGGAAGAGAGCTGCAGAGCATCCGTGTGGATGTCTCTGCTTTATTTGGTCAATTCTTCTTTGTGTGTTTCTCGTCAGGTCACACACACACACACACACACACACACACACACACACACAAACATACACACCCACACCC